TAACAATATCTCACATACGTTTACATCTCGTATACGTCAGTATATATTTTTCATTCTATCTTCATAATAGTATTTCAAATATATTCTTGAGACAACTCTAATTAATTGGAGCCCAAACCCTATTTGGCCTAACTTGTCTACTTCGAGCGACGTGCCCCAAACACGCGAAATTAAAATAGACCGAATCAGGTCACGTTTGGACACATATTCTTTGGAAAATCCTCGCCAATCTCTTTTAAACTGTCCCATAAGAAATATATATAGGGTTGTCTGGAGAGTCCATGTCGATTTTTGGTAGGTGGTACAGGTCTGAATATATCGGAATGGTTGAAAACTAATAACATGTATACATCCCTTAAAAAGTGGAAAGGTTGTGGAACAAAATGGTATTAAATAAATATATGTGAAAATTTAAATGTAGCTTTGAATTTTTCTTAAAACGTGTCACGAATTTTCTGAACAACCCAATAATTTAATTATGTCCACTTCCACTTGAAACTCAAACTCGCCCAACTAATATTCCTTAGAATAAACATCAACTGTTTAAAACTGTTGTTTTTTCCAAGGAACAGCTTCCCTATCACGAACCCAGTTGTTTTCTATGTTTCGACAGGAAAGACTTGGCGTTGTCAGGTCGGTTGAGAACCGGACACCTCGGTTCGAGGAACATGTCGGTGAAATTGACAGCTGGGTCTGAATCCTCTAGGGCAGAAATTGTTCCGGACGGACGAGAGCGGTTTAAGGTTTTGTTGGTTCACGTTACGCGGGAGAGGGGATTAAGGGATTCGTCGGCGGTTCAAGTAATACAAAAATACTCGCCGGACTGGTGCCAGCCGCGGCGAATATTTTTAACGCGCTCGTTTGCTGAAAACGCGGCGTTCTTGCGCCGGTGGAACCGATTAAAGCTTAATCCACGGATAAATAGAATTGGGTCGTTTCGCGTTTAGACGATAAATACTGCGGAATTGAATGAAAACTGTCTGCCTTACCGAAACCCTTGAAATTTCCAGATACGTGTCGAAAGTTATGAAATTTACTACCTTTTCTTCGCTTTTTATTAAAAAACGAAAGGTCGTAATGTTCGAGGTACGAGATTGAAGACACATCTTCCCGATCATCCCAACGGAAATTTATAGCATGTTACATCGTAAGCGGTTAGACCTGAGTGCATTTTTTCCGAAATTCTAGTCAAAGTTGGTAATCATTATTCTCGTAGCGTAGTTACAACGTGAAACAGGAGATAGGAGAAGTTGCATGGAATTTTAGACAGTTGCTTGGTAGACGGTATCAGAGGTTTCAGTCTAATATTGCCCCGGGCCAGTTCCGTGAAAGCGTACATTTGAATTTATCACTGGTTTTCGAAATAGAACGACGAAAATGCGAACTTTGAAATTCCTCAGGGTGGGTACCTTCGTATAAATAGTTTACACGCTGGAGATATAGTTCAGAACAAAACACAAAAAGTATGGATTTAATTCCTGCTCGTCTGTTTTGGATTTCCAGAATTTTCATAGCGAATATTTCGTTACATAATCTGCAATTTCAAGTCGAAAATCCCTCGTCCAGAACTACACGAGTCGAATCGCCGTGGTACCAATTTTCATATTTACTTTTAGACAACGAAATGGAGGTAGAACCGTAATTGATGATTGATTAGAAATCAGCGAAGATGAAATGACCGATTCGCGTGCATGCAGACTAGTGGAACCGTGATCAATCTTCTCCAATTCCGAATGCACTTGTCAGTCTTGTTTTCGTTATGGTTAAATTTCTACATGGATTGATTTTCTTGTTTCCTTCTTGTTTTGTGCATGATTACTGCGCACTAAAGCGAAATGATTATTATAAGACAGTGGAAGGTTTGTTGATAAAGCACAATGCCACTGTTGATAAGGTAATTCCTGTTGGCAATGCAGTACACTCTGTCGATAAGTCTTGAAAACAACTAGCGACCTACATTACTCAACGGTATAACTCTACCTTATCGAACATCCACTTCTTTACCATTCAATTAAAAAATGTAAACAATTTCAATACACTTACATAACCAAGAGTCCTTCAAGTAAAAAAAAAATAGTATCAATACCGACGTACACATGTTGTCACAAATACCATTCGATAATTTAACGTCCAAGCCTGCCCTTTTATCCTCAATGACGTCAAGAACTCCAAGTTCCGATACACCGCGCGTAAAAGTTCCCTAGAAAACCCATCGATTCGCTGATTAAACGCTCCCCGCTCGCCACTTAATTACAAAAGCTACAACTCTGCGCAACAAACGAGCATCTCGCGAGCGCCTCTAATACGCCCACTCTAACACGGGGAATCCCGTGATCAACTTTCCCGCCCTTTTACCACCGTACAATCAACCGCGCCGTGCAGCGAAAAAAAAAGAAGGATAAATACCAGAAAAATGGAGCGAGTGCCAAGCAAAAAGAAAAAAAGAAAAAATAGGAAAAAAAGAAAAACGAGGTGAAAAAGTCCGCGTAGGACACGTGTAGGAAGAGGAACAACGAAGCTTCCCAATTAAAATCGGAGAAAAAAAAGTTGGACGCGCATTACGGTACAGGGGAGACTGGCTGGTTCGAGGCTGGAATCGACACGGATCGAATTGATGAGTCGAAGCGGGCGAGCGTTCCGCAATCAATTTCTCGCATTAACGGTCGCCGATCAATATTCATGAAGCGAGCGCGGTACGCCACGTCAAAGACAGAGTTCAATTTCGTGAGAGGTGATATATACACATACGTTCCAGACCTGGGACGGAGAAATGATAAGGTGGGAGGGGGGGGGGGAGTTGGGGGGGCTAGACGGCTACATATCGAAGTAGCGGATAGGAAATTGAGGAGCACGATGACGATCAGCGATTACCGGGGGAACCCCACTGCTCTAGCCATTAAGGTTCGATCAAGATGACGACGTCGGACGGTGGGTATCACGGGACGAGTGATGCATAGTTCCTCGAAGGGGACGGATTCGCGAAATGGGACGAAGATATATCGTTCGTGCGACGTGGACGCATGCTAATTATCGCGTCGTCCGAGGCTTGGGACAATTAACCCTTCGTTTCACCGAGACCACTGATTTGCGCAGAGTTCGATCGAGTGTATTTACCGTGCGACGCGTTTAACATTGATGAAAAGGTCTAGGGTAAAATGAGCGAGGTGTATGGGGAGGGAGGGGGTATTTAAAATGTATTTTCACTTTTGCGTGGTGTAATTAAAGTAGAGATGCTCTGTTGGATAACGCAGAATTTTAGGATTCTGTAGGATTTATCGACGGAGAGTTCTGCGTTGTCGACAGGGATGGTCTACCTTATCGACATACATAGATACTGTGTTGGAAAATAATATGTATTTAACATTTGAAGTGGGCTATAAATCTAATTAGAGTGATAGTACTAGCCCGGGCGTGAGTTATGTAGAGTACACGGTTGATAAGGTTGACAGTACTCTGTCAGGTAATGTAGTACCATAGTTGGTAATAGAATTTATCGACAGAGTGTCCTACGTTGTACGTCCTATCTTATAGACAGTAATATTATGCCTTATCGACAATGGTACTTTTTTTTGCCAACAGGGATACTCTACCTTGCCAACAGATATCTACCTATATTAGATATTTTACCTTACTGTACATAGAGCTTTTTTCGACTACAACTACACTCCTAGTAGCAATATTGTTGATTGCATTACGAATCAGGATTGGTTACATTACGTACAGTTGTATGCATTATTCGTTGTCCATTCAATGCCATAGACCTCCAAAATAAAAGATCGATTTCCACACGTGTATTCTACATCTTAAGATTAAAAGCCGTGCAAGGACACAAATACAGAAATAACTTTAATTACGTGATGAGACACGATGAGAAAATTCTGAAAATGATAAATATCTTTCATTAAATTGCAAACTGCTAATTACGCGCTCAGCTGTTTGCAACTAATCTTCCGTATCCTTGTACCTTATCGTTTTCTTCTCTCCGCCCCGTCCTCCTTCATCCGTCATCTTTATCTCCCTCTCTTCCCTTTCATAATCCTTCCTGAAGTATCTGATCTCTTCCGTCTAGTTCCAGCATCCCTTTTTCTCTCTCTTCGTACCACTTTTCACGGTTTTCCACTCTCTTGATTCCCTCTTTCGGCGCGCTTAAGCACGACTTAATGTTCTAATCGATCTTTCGGCAACGAGAACCCGTAAAATTAGATCCCAGACGACTCGCGAATTTTAGACGAGGTCAAGCAGGGGCCCTCCGTTACGCAACGAAGCTTTGTCACCGATGTCTGACCAAGATTCCTGCTTAGCGAGAGTCTCGAGATGGCTGGGTAATTCGCGACAAAAGCCCAAGACTCGGCTGGAATGCTATATTCATATCCTTTTGTGGCCATCGAACAATATTCGCGGCACTTTTCAATGGTATATCTTTCGGCAACTCTTAATGAAAACCTTTACTTTATTAAAGGGAGTTTGAGGCGGTTGACATTTCGTTTGAAGTACAGCATTGAATATGAAACGAAATAATTGGAATTTACGTAGAACGTGTGCATCACTCAATGTTTGTTATTGGAATATAGAGAAAGATATCAGGATTATTGGAAACTATTTCTGCTAGTTAGCGATAAATCAAAATTATGGGAATGATGGGTAATTAAATAGCTATGGGAACACGACTCTAATATATAGCAATTAATTGATGGATTTGTTCTATTAGAACTCGTTAGAACTAATGTAGCGATAAATGATTTATGAGTATGTCAGGCATTGTTCTTTTAATTTTGAAATATGAATTGGGATAAGTAAAAGGATAGCGTTGGAAGTAATGTGTTTGGAAAGTTCTAAATTTAATTCTTTGAATTTATTCATGAAAAAGAATAAAGCTATATAATTGATTTAAAGGTTATCGATTTATGCAAAGGCAGGTGTTGAACACGATAAAGTGTGAGAAGTTCCTACAAAAGAAATTTATTAACTTCGTTAATGTGCTTCGTTTTGAATTGTTTCAGGATGCCGAGAATAAGAAAAGCGAGAAGAAAGAGGTGGTTGGACCGCCTTTGCAAACCGCGTCTGTCAGCGTCAGAGCACTTATCGAAGAAAAAATTATCCAAAAGAGAACAACTGGTAAGTTTTATTAATAAATCTAGCCCTTTGTTAGCCAATGTAATTCTTTTCAATCGGAGAACGTGACACATATTTTGTGAACTGAATTTTAAGTGAATTTAGAGAAGTACGACAAATTCTGCTTTATACACAAGCAGCTTTTAACGTTCAAATTATAATATGCCGTGATAATACAGCGAATACGCAAATGAATATTCTACGGTACTTTAATGAGTAATAGATTGGTTCTATCGCTATATATAGTTTCTATCCCAGACTATTAAAGCCCTCCTTTTTTTTATTCGTATTCATATCGGATCCTGAATAATGTTATTGATATAACGTTAACGTAGAAATTCGAAGGGCTCTAGAATGGGTGTACAATTTCAATGATTTATGTACCCTGGAACGTATCTTGATCCGGCTGTCTCTCTCCCTCGTTCTCCCCCGAGCGTTCCCTGTTCCTGTCTTTTACCCTCATACATTTTGCAAACTATAATCATAAGGGGCGGGCCGAGTTATATTAACTGTCAGGTTACATTAACTTTAGTTCAGACGTATTCGGGAGTCAGACGTGATATCAGCTTACACAGAAACCACGTGACACTGGTTACGTGTCCCAGAACAGTTGGCATAAGTTCCCTTCCGAATAGTTAACCCGATCCGAAGGTTAATAGGGTTGAGACTTGGATTTACTTTAGAGAACACGTTTATCTGAACAAGATTTTTAGGATTTATACGTTTCTTTCATGAACCCACCCGAAAGGTAGTTGGGTCTCAATCTGTATACAGGGTGTTCAAAAAAAAGTATTCAATATTTATATGGTGTATAGGGCACACTGTACCGAGTAAAAAAGCTTCATTAAACATAGGTCCAAAGGTCAACCGTTTCTGAGATATAAACATTTTTGTTTGCTAGTATCATCGTGCAGTTAAGGCACTTCCACTACCACGACCATACATAAAATGCATATCTGCCATTTCTTCATTCAAATAATACGCTGACATTTTCGCGATACTTTACACTTTCGTGATATCTAAGTTGCCGATCCGCAACTGACTAAATCTCAATGAAATCTACTGTCGGCACTCGAATGGGAACATTCAGAACGCAATTTATAAACCCTGACGTAAACATCGGATACGATGGAAGCATGTAAGTCAATCATGATACTAGCAAACAAAAATGTTTATATTTCAGAAACGGTTTACCTTTGGACCTATGTTTACTAAAGCTTTTTCACTCGGTACAGTGTGCCCTATAGACCATATAAATATTCAATGCTTTTTTTTTAACACCCCTGTATAAATAAACTATATTCACTGTGGCGTATTCTCTAGTAATTATCAAAATCTTTATTCATTTTGTCATGAATTGGTGATGTAGAGTACTCTCTCGGTAACGTAGAGGACTTAGTCGGCAACGTAGAGTACTCTATCGACAGTACAGTGCCTTTTATTGCTCTATCGATACTACCGAATACTCTATCATCACTCTATCGGTAATATAGAGTACTCGGTTGGTACTTCAATGCATACTCTCGATTCAAGCGATAACGCAGGACCTTTTGCTGATAAATCTCTCAACGCATTAGGTTTCTGTCCCAGACTACGTGAAGTTCTTCCTCATTTGACAAACAAGATCGTTTCCACGTGGAAATATTAATCCGATCGGCGACGCTGAGAACACAAAACCGGCGAGCACGATTCCGATGATTTATGTGGCCCGCGACGTATCACAATTCGGCCGTATCTCCCCACCTTCTCTCGCCCCCTGCAAGCCCCTTTCTGCTTCACCCCCTCGTCGCCGTCTATCTATCCCTCGTAGCGTGTACATTTGCCAGAAGCTCGCGTGATATTCCAACGGCGAGGAATCGCTTCTCCGCGCTCTATGGACTGCCGAAGAATCGTGATTTACGAAGCGAGCACGCCAGAATATTTCTCGCATTGTCCACGTTGGAACCATAAATCAAGTCTCGCGGCACGGCGGAGCTAGGGCGCGCCAGAGACGGCGGGGGAACCGGCAAGGGAGGGGGCCAGAAGCCGCGCTTTTGTAACAAAGTGTGCGTCGTTAGCGATTTATGCGCTATTTCGCCGTCGACCCGCTGCCAAGTGCGACGGAGGAGGAAGGGGGTACGAAACTATTGCTCCTTTCGCGGGGATTCTTCGCGGAGGTCCTCCCATATTGGAATTAATCTGTCGGAATTAACGCCCGAGATCCGGCGCGGTTTTGTCTCTGCTGGAATTCGTCGTGGTCGTCGCCGTCGTCGGTTACGTTCGCTCGTGGTCGGTTTTATCGATGCTTCGGTAGCCTAACCTGGTAAATGGATGACTCGAGGATTTTTTTGTCTGGCCTGAGACATCGAATTAAGGCTGCAATGATTGTTCTTTAGTAGATACAACACGGTGTCTTAAAGGAGATGTTGATTTCCTTGGACATATACTGTTCAGAAATAAAAAGTTGAATAGCGAGTAAGAGCACCTTGATTTTACTATGAAATTTTATATTACAGTCCGTATACTAATATATTGTAGAATTATGTGGTACAATCTGGATACTGTAACCAATCAGGCTTCTGGCCAACTTCTCATGTCTCTTTCTTCTACATAGATACGTTACGTGCTGGTTAGAGCTATGATTGATAACAGTATTACCTTCTTGATTATACTTCAATTCTTTAATAATAATACTGTAGTATAATCTGGGAGAATTTAAAATTCATAATAAAAATATTTACACATATTAATAATCCATGTATCGACTGTCTACATTTTTAAATCCGATCTGTAACTCACAAACATCGTTTTCATTTTTATTTTAAACAGTTTTTGAGCATCATCATCAATCAGTGTATATAATAATGCAGTGTGTGTAATGAGCCAGTGTATATAGTAATTTGCATATCAACGAGTCACAGCTGTTAGCTCACGCTTCTTCTTATAATTTCCTGCGAAAGAAATATTGGACGCTTCGTCGACTCGACCAAAAATCCTCCTCTAATTGCATCGATGTGTCGACGACGGAGGGGTGCGACCCGCGTCGCGACGCGTCGTCAGCGTCGAGTCGTGCCCGATAAACGATCCCAGTAAATTATTTATCGATCGATCTCTCGTTCTGCGGCCGCTTTCGCGGCGAACTGTCGATTTTTAAAAAAAAATAACGACCAACCATGATGCATTCGACACGCGTCGCACGTTCGATGCGTCGTTCGATTAGTGTGATTCACGATGGATCACAAAAACGTTCGAACATCTGCAATTATGATTTTTCACTCGCTTTTATTTCAGCGGATTATTTTCTCGTTTATTGGTTTAGTAAATATAGTTCTACAGCTTGAAAATTCATAAAAATTGTGAAGCTTGCAAGAAACGTAATTGAAGTGATGTTAAGTGAACTATTTTTTGTTCGGATACTGAAATGTGTTTAGTGTGGAAATAACTCACTCCAAAATTGTATGGGATTTTATACTATTGGGGAAAAATAAAAACATGAAGTTAATGAATATAAATAATTACCTAATACCACAGTTGTGTTAATTGATATTAGTAAATCTCTTCCATTTTCAATTATAATTCGTGGAGTGTTTTTATCCTTTCGAGCCTTGTTCGATCTTTTAATTTTCTAAAAATTAGTTTGAAATTTGAGACAATTCCTACTGTAATACAATTCATTTATCAAATAATTATCCATATACATATTTAATAACGATTTCACTTCTTCGTTAGTACTAAATTATTTATGCAAATACATCGAATCATGCCTCGTGCATTGAAAGTAAATAATTATCAACTGCGAAATTAATTTTGTGACAAACGCTCTTAAATCCCGTAGTCTGTAATCCCGATTTAATTCTACCGATGTTCATAAATTTAGAATTTCTCTATAAATTTTGGCTCGGGTTCGAGAAATACCCATGAAATATTGGCAAATTATTTCGAACAGGTTCTAATATCAAAGCAGGAGTGATGCGATAATTCCCGAAGAGGAATCGGTGATTCGCTCAGAATTTACCGAGCACCCATGTGGAATACGAGCCATCGCTGACGATGCATAACTCGATGCCGGGTGCATCGAAGCAATTCAACGAAAAGTCCGATAAGATGACGGCACTGGTTATGGAGGACCAGTAAAATATCGCAGTTATCTGCTGATCGTCGCGGAAAGTTTGGTAGATGGCTAAAGAATACGGTCCCATAAAAATAATTGAATGCCCCTTTAAAAATACGTCCCTCGTATTTGCTAATAAAACGCATTATATTTATAATTTTCACGAAGGCAATTTTTGGACTACGTGGATTATTACTCGAATCGAAAATTAATGTTTATTGATATTTAATTGCAAATGGGTAACTGCTAACTAATAATGCTTTTCATTTTCGCTGTTAAAAAGTATCGAAGATAGTTACGGTTCGAAACAACTTCATCGTTTTAAAATGTAATTAAATTTTTTAGAAAAGGACTTTTAAGTTCCTAATTTTTATTTTTAAAATTAAACGTCGAATGAATAAATTATAAATATAAAAAAGTTTCGTTTTGTCATTTCCTATAAGGTGATATATCTTAAAAAATTGATTTCACGAATTTAAACATTTCTCTGAGCCTAATTTTCGAGGACGGATATATACGTCCTTCGCAGCCGTAGGTTTACTCAAAGGAGCCATTGCGATGTCCCCTCGAAGTAGAAACAACAATCGAAACAGCCTCGTAACCACTTCGCTGGGAACAATCTGCTTTACCGCGATCAATCACTGCCAATTTGCAAAAATCCCCAGCGGTTTCGTCTGCGCGGATTTACGTCGTTACGCGCTCGTACAAATGTGCACGCGTTAAATGGATTTGCGGTCTGCGTAAAGTTATGCACGAAAGTGGTGAAAAATGCAACGGGATCCCGTCGAACACTGCACGAAATACGGCAAGCTGATGACCGGGTATTGATTAATTAATTGCTTACTTTAATCGTCTACGTGCGTCTGAACACGTATTTTTGAAATTAAAGTTGTCGAGTCCCGTTATTTTCCATTTACACGTGAGCACAAATTTTTTTAGGAATAAAATGTACGATTTTATTTAAGCTGGAAATTGTGAAACAAATGTTGTTCAATGATTTGATAATTGTATATGTGAATAACATGTAGCTATACATTGATTGAACAATGTAGTCTGGATCCTTTTCTGGTTTAGATCAATTTTTTGAAAAATGAAAAGGACTCGGATCTTTCAAGGTTTATTTTGAACCCTTTAGAATAGTAAAGAAATTAACGAATTTTTTCATTCTTTAATAGCAATGTAATTAAAATTAAAATAAAAATCATTCATGTACAATTTATATAATTTAACAAAAATCACATTCCCTCTAAAGTACGTCCTTGAAGGTTCTCAAGAAAATCCTGAAAAAACACAGTCGCTACTAATGCACCCATTCCGTTAAAAGAAAAATAAAGCGCGCACGTGTGATCGTACAACACACGTACACACGCAGACTAATACACCTTCCTCTGAAATAAAAGAAATATTCGCCCAGAAGGTTGTCGGGATTACGTACGAGAAATTACCTCGAAATCAATCGTTCTTCTCGCCGCGATTTCTATTTCCATCCCCGGGATAAAAGCGTCCGCAACGATTTCAATTTACCTCCGAACAGCAATGGTCGAACGAGTTCGGTCGCTACGAGGCGGATATTAATTTCTTTCGGTTGATTTATTAGCGGCACGACGAAGAAGCGAACTGACGACGAGTAAAAACGCTGGAACGCCGGGGCGACGATCAGTATAATATGACGCAAAGGGAGAAAAAAGACGGGAATCGGTCGAGGGCAAGGGTTGGAAGCCAGTGAGGAGGTGGATGAGGGGCAGGGGGTGGGCGCAGATATTCATGAAATCGTCGTAGAAAAGTTTCGTTGCGATACAGCTGCACACTCGACGGGATCCCATTTCCTTCTTGAGCCCTGCGCGCCCTTCCAGGATATGCACGCATTTATATCTGTCGGGGGGGTTCCCCCGTCGGCGTAAACGATGGTTCGCGCCTCGAAATATATTTTTCGTCGGCCAATACTGTCTCTTCGCGGATGCACTAAACGTCAATCTTGAACGCGGCCCCGGAAGTATTGATGAAACTATCCGTTTCTTCCGCGTGAATTCACGCTGTAGATAATAATTTATCCTGCGCCGATGGAGTTTGAACGAAACTGAGACTGGTGGAAACGCTTGTTTAAATTATTGTGAATTATTGTAGACCGTTATGAAACGTCGAATTAATGAAGAATCCATTCTTCTGTGTTCACTCGATTGAAGTCAGTAATATTCGATCCCGTTATTGAGATTATCTTGCGCAGTAGTATAAACAAAAGAAAGAAAACAACAATCATTGAAATGAAAATAATGCAACACTAAGATGAAAATGTCCAATAATAAGAAAAGAAAGATAGATTTACACATCCTAGTGGAGAATTTTAATTTGAATAATCGTTTCGATTGTAATAATTCATTCAAAACAAATGTTTAAACAAGTGGAAAAGCGACAAATTTTAGTTAAGATTGAAAGAGTAGCAGTATTAAAATAGTATCACATTAATATCACCATTAGAGTAAGTTACATACATATATCTGCAATATACGTTAATGTTTATGTTTATAAATGATTTTTGTACGATCATTTAATGGTATAATCTACGAAGAATGATATATGCAGACGTCAGAAATATTATTAGTATTCGAAGGAATTTATTATTTATATAGCTCACACAGTGTTTCATTTATATATGATTTGCTTGTCTAACTATTTTCGTTCCCATACTACTTGATTTCTTATTTTAGGCCATAAAATATATATCCTGGCCTGGAGAATTTTATTTTTGGTAGGCACATTATACTCCCAAAAAATTGTTATTTTAAGCAAAATTGAAACTTATTACTCTTCATTCATGTACTCTTGTCTATCCTTTGTCTGACCACTTACGGTCTCACCGTCTCATTCTACTGATTTGATGTCCAGCGCGCAGAAGGTTTCTGACGATATCGAATAATTTTTATGTACCAATATTCACTTAGCATCAAAAATACCGCGTCCCACTATTGTGTATTCAATCATATTTCTAATTATAATATTTGTAAATAATATTTGTAATTCTGAAAAATTGTAATCGTTATGAAATTTGTATTGAATATTCAAGTGCATGGTACGTAAAAGTGCATGGTAGAATATTCAAAAACAAATACCTTTCCTTTGAATTAAGAATCCTGAATAATGAACTGATGAGATATACACGGTGACTCAAAAGTCTCATTAAAATTCACAAGAGTACTTCACACACCAAAATTGTCGAAACGAATTCCCATTTATAATTATCAATATCATCACAGACGAAAACGTAATACCAGTTCAAAAATTAATATACGAATCAAATTAACATATTTCGCCAACTGTTTCACCTATTACACTAATAGTACACCCTCACTCATAAATATGTGGACACGTACTATTTTCAATGAATAATTAATATACATCGTTAATTATTACTATACAACTTTTGTTGCTAAATTCTGTATTGGATGTGTATTTAACACCATTTAATTATATTAGATGTTTTCACTGTCATATTTAATTTTATAGTGGAACTATGGGATCGTTTAGATAGAAAAGTTCAGAAAGAACGTTCAATATATCAAGCACATTTATGGCGAAATATTACAAAATAAATCTAGTTATCTTTAAAGCTTTGTATCATTACTAATGTGATATTACAAAAAAGCTATTAATAAAATATATTCGCTAATATAACATAAACATATCGAAAGATAAATAATATAATTGATATTAATAGATTTGCAACTGTTATTAGATATTTAGCGTTCACATACTTCTGAGTGGGGCTGTATGTGTTTCTGTTTAAAACGAAATATAAAGCACTTGCTCAACAAGGAATTTTTTCAACCAATTACGAACATCTTCGCGTTACCTACCCCATGATTAAAACCATCTGCACCGTCCAAAGATTACACTCGTTCTCCCCCTCGTGCGATCGTGAAAGGGGGAGATTAAGGAACGCGCAAACGAACGGGGGCACTCTCGCTAAGAAGCTTGCAGTCATCATAATTTATTCCCCATAAACTGCGTGAAAGTACGTTCGCTTAACCAGCAATACGATTAATTCATATTAACGTCATAATAGAGGCCAATACGTGCGGGTCGAGGTTGGAAGGACGATTCGCATTACTGCGTTCGCCGATCTCTCTTTTCATCCGGCTCCCGTTTCTTTCCTCCAATTAGCCGGAAAGCGTCCGAAAGAGAAGAAGGGCAAAATGCACATTTGAAAATGGCCAACCATGCTATCAACAAAAGAACGTTGGAGCCGCGGGAAGTAGACGACAAAATGTCCTTTCATTCATGAATTTTATTAGACGCGTGGTCCACTTTGTACTTATGGTTTGTTTCGGGATTTGTCTTTAGAATTGTTTCGAGGCGAATGTGTTTATTGTGATTGGATGAATGGCTCTAGTGGCTGAGAAGAGTGACTGTGAAAATTATAGGGGAATTATGGTATATTAAAGCTGGGCACTACGAATTAGTGGCGCCACAAAGACATGCTCTAGCGCCAAAATGGCGCCAGACTACACTTTTTAAGTAATATTTATTTTGATATGTTAAAAAGTTTTACTATCCTGCATTACCTATTACTTGTTTAAAAGACTGAGTGTCCAAAATATTTCTATTGCACTGTACACCCTTTTTATTTTAACAAAATATTGTCTATCTGTAAATAATTTCAGAAGCTTTAATTAAATTTCTCTGTCGAGCGTGTATACTTCGCCTGAAATTCAAACTTTTATTTAATATAGAAATGAAAAATTTTATTTGGTCCGCGTAATTCTTTCCAACAATACGTGTCCATTCATCTGTTATGAAAAGAACATTTCATTTCGAGAGGCATGCGCCGTTTTATCGACGAACAAAATTCAAAAGTTACACGCAAATGGACGCCCTCGAACACGGGGGAATGAAATCTGCGGGGATAAAGCAAACAATCCGGTGTATTCGGATTGAAATTTATCGAAATACTGTTTAATGATAACGAAGGGGGTTTAATCAATCGATCAACCTTACTTACGGTATTAACTCTCTCCCCGACGAAAATTAATATTTGCATTTCGGCGGGGCTTTCATCATTGTTTAATTCGTCTGGTAATTCGAGGAGATTCGGTGGTTATCTTTTGCAGGCTGTTGCGAACTGATTGAAAGTGGCGTGGGTATAGTAATCCTTGGGATAATTCATATTACTGATCTTCTGAACAGAAAATTAATTTATCAGTGTGAAACGAATCATTACTTATTTGTTTTAGAAGCACCTTCAGAATATCTAAATATTACAATTATGTTCATTGAATTAAGAAGAATTTATTCAATTCATATAACATAAGAACATGTAATTATAATTCTTTGATTTATACACATACAAGCTTGTCCATAAATAAATGATAAATGTCACAATAATTTTAAGAAATTTAATGTATTGGGCACAAAAGAAACATAAAGTGTATGTGTAGAAATAAAAACGAAAACTACAAATTCATCTAATTCAAGCCTAATGAAATCCAAGTTCGACGCATAACGAGATCTTAACTAACTTCAAAGATTAAACAAGCCATAAGTACTCCTAGAAATAGTACAATTAAGATGATCCTCATTAAGAGCATCTAAAACAAAAATTATTAACCATGTCTACCTGACACCGGGGCATAAAATAGAGAACCACTGTGTTTGAAGCACATGAGTATTATTCCCGGTATATTTTCAAGTGGAATTCCATTTTATTTCAGCAGCAGACACGAGCACGAACCAACAGCAACGCACAAACGCCACAGTGTTCACCACGCAGGCTGACAGCGTGTCCCAGCTCGCTGGGAAGACGAACTTCGCTGTGCCAGCACCCCCGCCATTGGCATCCGTGGAGAAGGTCCGCAGACTTTCGGATGGCGAACACTTTCGACAGCCTAACGTCACCGTTGGCGGTCATGCGACCGTGCAGAAACAACTGCAGGAGGCGCAGACCCAGGCACAGGCGCAGGCACTGGCCGACATGATCTTGAAGGTATGCTTTTAATGTTTTTTTTCAAACTCTCAGCAACAATCGTTTCATTAATTACTAGACTTTTCCTTTTCAAATAACTATACTAAATATATTAAACTAAAACAGAAGTTCCCAAACTGTTTAGACCCGCGGCTCCCTTAGTATACAGATTATTTTCGGCGGCTCCTTTAATATCAATCAATATGAGACTAATCTGAAATATGTTAGACAGAGTAAATTTCGTAGCACAAGATAACTAAATATAAGTATTACTATTTCATAAGACTTAATTTCTTTATTATTGAACTTTACCAACATTTATTTTTCTTTCTTCACTGCACTAAAACATGTTAATATACACGTATATACATTAGTAAATATATTAATCGTAAATAAATAAACTTTGAAAATTATTTTGTTATCTAATCAGTCGCTTACTTAACGTTAATTTATGTGACAAAACCTCACATATAGTACTCTTTTTTTTTACGTGAAAATATACAGGTTGTTTAGTGCTACACTCTACGGTTAATAAAAAAATAAAGAACTTGAAACTTTCCAGGGCACCACCAAGATGGCTGTGAAGAGAACGACATCCGATCCCGGACAGAGATTGCACCTGACGTACCAACCGTCAGTTCAATCGACGACCAATCAGCAACAACAGCAGCAAAATAACCAGCCTCAATCCCAGCCCGCAGTCACAGACAGTTTCTCGATGACAGGTTACTCCGAAGACGGCGGTTACTTTAGCCCAAACCTTCAGGACGAGGTGTTCCAGCAGGTCACCGCAGTTCCTGACAGCGTTTTGCTTCACGCTACTCAATTGGACTCACTTCAGGTGAGAATTTGCCCTCCTTCCTTCCTCTGCAAGCTCCTCGAGTTCGCCTTTCACGCCTGGTATCCCGTTGGTGCAAGAGACAGTGATTGGTGAATTTAGTTAATTGGAATCACGATCGTAATTCATAATATTTATTTTGTATAAAATAATTTATTTTCTTTTGAGACGCCTTCTGTTTATGTTCGATTGTTGTGCTTTTATGGATTCTTTTGACTCTTCGAGGAATTATTTTATTTGGAATGGAGAATAGAATGTTCATTACTATGGATTAGAATTTTTTTAGCGAACTGTGGTACAAAATACAAATTTCCAGTGATCTATTAAAACAGATATTGACCACTCACCACTCACCCTCGTAATTACCATTAAGAAATTTATTTCTGAGTATTTATATACAACTTCATTCTTAAAATAGATGGTAAAACTACTTCAATAAATATTTAATAAATATTCTATAAATACATACAAATTTTCAATGATTTATTAAAACAGATATTGACCACTCACCCTTATCAATGACGTTACCATTAAGAAATTCATTCCTGAGTATTCATATAAAACTTCATTCTTTAAGTAGATAATTAAACTACATACTTCAACAAATATTCTATAAATTCTAATCAATATCCTTCTACACGCCATCAATAATACAATAAAGCCCCAAAAATACTTCCCCAACATCCTCTCATTTAATTCCACACTCTAAATAAATGAACGTTGGCAAAATAATGGCAAATATGGTCCTTTTCGTGACGTTAGTCGGCTGATATCGAAAGGGTTCCAACAGTCCACAAATCTGGGAGTTCTTTTCACGTTACCCATCCAGACGAACTGCTAATTTACAACTTTATCTGGAAACCAGCGTACCCGGTTGACAAAAGGGGCCGAGGGTAAGAAAGGAGTCACGCGAAAAGGTAGGGTGGGAGGCATTTGCATTTTCGACGGTCATGTTAAGACACAATATCTCGCGATCCTTTGACGGTCTAATTAGCCCCGGCGTCTCATTATTCGTTCCACGTCGAGCGCTGAAAACGCTTTAGTTTCAATTACGTCACGGGCTCCGCCGACCCCTCTCGACGCAGAATTTAATAAGACGAATTATCTAAGTAGTTGGCACCGACTGCACCAACGATGCTTGCAATGCTGCTTTGTGCCATTTGAAAAGCACCGGATCCACCTCTTCCCTACCTATCCGCCAGAGATATCTAGCATCCCTCCTCCTCCTCGGCTCGAACCACTCGTCCTCTCGAGTAGTCTCGTTAATGTCTGACCCACGGATACCAGAGATTCCACCCTAATGCCTGCATCTCCTGGCGTATCTCCCGAAACGCCTCCATTCCGCCAACTTTTCACCGTAATCCGTCTACTTCCTCCGCAAATTCAATTTTTCACGGGGGCACGGCTCTCCTGCGAATCGATATTGCTCGATGGAATTCGAGGAGCACAGATTTTTGTCAGGCTCGAATTGAAATGATAGAGAAATTTTATTATTCGGTTAGGGAGATCATTTAAAAACGAGAAGCAACGTGGTAGTTACAGTCAGTCCCATAACTATTCGTACCATCTAGGTCTATTATCGAAATTTGTCTAAATTAAATGGTACGTTTAATGTTTTCGAATAAATTTTTTATTGTGAGTGTACAAACGTGTAAAGTCTGTTTGTGTACATATGTATAACGAAGCGAATGTGAAATAATATTTAATAATTAAAAGTTGGGTAAAGTGGATAGAAGTAATGGTGTTCTGTTTAAGCAAAATTACTTTAATTGTAGAATGTTAAATTGTGCCCGTAGATTTAGTTTTTTAAATGGTCATGGAATAAACGTAACTTCAGAGCCCCTACTTCTAGGAATTAATTAAAAGTTTACTAAAATGAGTAGGACTAGTGGTGTTCTGTTTGAGATAAATAATTTTAATTGTAGAATTTTAATTGTACCAGTAAATGTAGTTGTTTTAATTTTTTTAAGATTTTTGCTAATGGGACTTCATAATGGCTTTCTATTTACTAAATTTGTGAAATCAATCTAGAATAGTTTAATAGTTATATTCATAAGGAACAGTGTACATTTTAAGAGATTTCACTAAATTATTGCACCCACATATTCATTTATATTGCACAAGAGAAAATAACTAAATCTGCCAACATTATTATTGCACAATGTTTCTAATAACATTCCCCCACCACATCTCTACGTTACGAAACAAGATACACCTCATGCATCACTGATTCCAAAACCATTGTCACGAAATCCACTCAACCGGCCACCACAAAGAAAACAAAATATAAATTTGCAATGTACATATAGAATGAAACATTTCAGTGCAAAATTCAGTACGATAATTTGGAAAAACACAAATGGAAATTCGAATTCAAATCGCAACGATCTCTGTCGCATCGAAAAAAACCAATAAAATAAAAATACATGTACGAATACAAAATCACCCAGAGAATAATAATAAAAATTGTACTCCGTCTTCAGTTTCAGACAGCGAGCCTGCTCCAGGAGCAGTCTACCGAGCAGCTGCAGGACATCACCCTGGAGGATCGATACTCATCACAACACACCGTCAACCCTGACCTCCAGGCGCTAGTGAACTCGCCTCTACCAGACTCGCTCGCTGAATTCAGCACCTACGGTGCCCAGTACACTGAAAGTCCTCACACCCTGCCCACCCAGTCGCCATTACCATCGCCCCTGACCAGACACGACAGTCCCAGTTTTACATATCCGACCCCGCCAGCCAGCCAGGAGGGCCTCCTAACCGGAAGCCTGCCCCTGCTGAGCCCCCAGGAGGACCCGGAAAGCGTCAGACAAGTCTCCTCGCCTCTTTCGGCCGCTTTCTACACGTCCACCATGTCCTCCGCGGCAGCCGTCGAGGAAGCCCTCAGCGAGGTGTTGCCAGGCGAATCCGACGCGGACGCCGACCTCTACGGTTCAGGTTCGCCCAATCCCCACTCGCCACTGCCCAGCCCGTTGTCTGCGACCCCGGCGCCGTCACCGTTGTCCTCCCTGCCGCCGTCCTCCGTCTCGTCGCCAGGACCCGTGTCCTTCACAGGAGCCAGCTTCCCCGTGTCGCCGCACCACGCGCTCCAGAGCCAGATGATGCCCAACTCGGAGGACCCGTTGCTCTCCTCGACCCCGAAGGACTTCACCACGGCCAGCCGCAGACGATTCGAGTTCCAGTCCTACAAGGTGATCACCAGCCAGAACCTGGTGGACTTCGGCCTGGGGAACGGGAGTCTGGCGGGCATCGTCGTCGACAACAATGGCGAGTTCAAGCTGATACAAACCGCGGGACTGCAGAAGACGAACGTCCTCGTGCAGACCGGTTCGTTGAGCCCAGCCCTGACCTTCAAAAAAGAGATGCGTCTGGCGACACCCAAGATCGAGCCAGTGACCGTAAACCTGGGATTGAACGTGCAGACGAACCATCAGTACAACGCTGGCCAGTTCAACCAGCAGCAGGTGGTCAACCCGACCAAGTTTCTCATACAAACGGCCAAGAACACCAACATGAGACAGAAGACGCCCAGCGGTAACCTACCGATCCCCGTCGAGCAGATCAAGGAGGAGCTCCTGGATGAGGACGTGTTCCTAAATCCGAGCAGTATACCAACCGGTAGTCCTGTTAGACATTGTAGAAAGAGGCCACGAATGGACGGCGGTCTCTACGCCAGCACGTCTCATTCGTATCCGTCGAGATTGAGGAAAGCTTGCGATAGACACTGGGACAGCAGCTACACGCCACCGCCCATCTTGGATCCGTCGCGTCCTGGGCCTGGATTGTACGCCAGGCTCCATCAGTACGAAAGGGACTCCGACTTCAGCTCGGACGATTCCCAAGGAAACGATGGGCCGCCCCCTAGAATCAACATTGGAACGAGATACCAGGCGACGATACCCCCAATCGGAAGCGACGGGGGCAGAGGGAAAGGGGAACCGGAGGCTGACCATCTACTCTGGGATCCTGGTATAAATAACGTGCTGACCGATAACGAACGTAAGTGTTTCCTTGATCTCATCCTTGCACTTAAATGGGGGACGAATGCCATAAGATATTTGAGGCTTTAACGATCCGGGTTAGGTGTCAGTGTCAGTGCGTCATCAGACCTCTGACGAAGCTAGCTGCAATGCTGGCGAAGCACCAAAACACCCTTTCAGAAGGCCACGGCTTAGACCCGGAAGCCTCAAACAGCTTATCAACTGTAATACCAAATTATGATTGCTAAGTAGCTTGGCTCTGGGACCATTTCATGTGTCTCGATTGACCCTGCTCGATTCTAGATTACTTTTACCTTGGTTTCGTTAGTCATTGGAAATTGTCTGGGAAGGTACGATTTTGAATCAATCTTAATATGAAATGGCGATTTGAGGAGGTTTGACGAGGTTTGATGTCTGGAATGGGACGATGAATTGGACTTAGGAAGTTATCCTAGAGCCAACGCGCTTTAATAACGTTCATGGATACCTAAAGATAGCTGAGGACTATTATAGGTGTATTTAAAGCAACGAATTTTTCTTTTTCAGTGGAGATGTATCTGCAATTCGCGTGCTGCGCCGCGGTCCCAGGAGGAGGGAGGAACAAAGAGTACGCGCTGCATCTGCTGCACATGTGCAGAGGCAACATTCATGTATGAATCTGCGAATTTATTCTGTGAACCCTTACATGTACCCTTACATTTTTCGAATTTCTGTCACGTGATCCCTTCGAAGAAAAAGCAACCAACAGTAGAGACTATATAGTAAAAATCTATGCTTAACGTAATTCTTATGGCTGAAGAATCAAACAAAGATCAAAGATCCCTTCCAACTCTGACATATTAACCAATTAACACCTATCTTATCCAAGCACTAAATAATTTCAGGACTGTAGTTCCAATTCTCAAGACTCCGGATATTTGCAAATTCTCTGCAATTCTCTGCAAATTCAACTTGCTTTTAATTGCAGGACGCGATGCTGAAGCTGATGAGACCAACGCCCATATTGCCAGTGGAGCACCCATTGCTCAGCTACGAGTGCCAGGAGTCCGACAGGTGGACGTCGCAGGAGATGGACGCGTTCTACCAAGGCCTGCTGAAGTACAACAAGGACTTCTCCGCGATCTCACGTGACGTGAGTGGCAAGTCCGCGAAACAGTGCGTGCAATTCTATTACCTATGGAAGAGGCTCTGCCCGGACGAGTACAAGAGACTACGTGTCCGTCATGGGAAACCAAAGATTAAGACAGAGAGCAGAGATTGCAAGGACACGAGGGAGCTTCGCGACGCCATTGCATCCGTGACAAAGATGGACTTTGGCGAAGACAAGTCGATCCTCCATCGCACTCTGGTGAGTTCCATTAAGAGTACGGCAAGTTACAAAAGTCCTTGTGTTTAAAATTCTGCCTTTGCTAAGACTCGTATTGCAATGGTTATACATTCGAATAGAATAGTGTTGAATGAGTTTTCATAGAAGACATAGTCTTCTAATGCCGACTGAAATTTTGCGAAATTATCTCATTTGACTATTCATAGACATTGACTCAGTGATGGTTGTATAGGTACTTAAGTAATTAAGCACTACTTTCAGTTTAATGAATTTAAAATGTAGAATATCATATCATGCTTGATATTCTTTGATCTATACTAATATTATTGTATAAAGAGGTAAAGATTGTTTATTTGTTTGTATGTAGGGGGCAATCACCGTAACTACTGAACAGATTTTAAAAATTTGTTCGGTAATAGAATGCTACACTATCTCCGAGTAACATAGACTATGTTTTATTTTGATAAAAATACGTTTTCAATTTGAAATCTCAAAATTTGTAAATCAAGTCGAAAGAAAAGCGTTGCTTGGCTACTTTATCAGCGTACGCTGACCAAATGGTTAGATGTACGTGAAAATAATGTAATACATTACATCTTATTAAAAGTTCGCAGCCATTAGCTCGATATTACTCACAAGTAACTCGCTAGGTCTCATCATGTGAAGGATGCTGCGAGTGGAGTCCGAGTGGAGGGAGATAGAAGGAATCAAAGTTCCTTCGATTTCCTAACATTATATAATTATAAATGTAGAATGACTAATTTGACAATTAAACATCCAGATTTATAATATAACGTGTTTAACTTTATATTTCTTGTCCAGTTACAGACGAACGAGAGAGAAAACTCAGCAACTCTGACCACCAGCGACGGGGAGCTGAGATTATTCGCATACGACTGCCCAGATGTGAGTACCAACGACCATAACACTCTGCGTACTCTTACCTACAAGCTTTACTTATACGATTTATGAAACAATATTCAGTTAAATGATAACAGAACTACCAGGAAGATAACTGTCATCACTTGCCGAATAGGAATACATCGATATATAATTCTAATGTATATCAATATTTTTTTCTAATTAAAAGCATAATTATCTTTTACATAATTGCCGAGACTACTTGTCTGTACTTTCCACCGAGCATTCTAACTATTATACTTATAAACGCGCACCGAGTACGAAGCCTCTGCTCAAACTCATCGCTAAACTGTCTGCATATCAAATGTTTATTAGATATATTAATGATCCTAACCAATTCAAGTTCGACCTCGACGCCGTGGCGGTTGGGTTCGTGCTCGACGTACACTACAGCTCGAAAGTTTGGGATCATTTAGCTTGCATAGTTAGGTATTACTATCATATTGGTCTAATCTGATTAGTGGAATATTTTGATGGCCATGAGGGTATAAGAACTAGTTGTAACTAGGGTCATAAAACTTCATACCAAATTAACTACAAAATAATACCTGTGGTTCTTTGATGACTACTTTGATGAAGACTGAAATAGTTTATAACAAAATATACCTCAATCGAGTCACGATAGTTATTCATAATATTGAGTCACGAATTAGTAAACCATCTCTAAAGACATTGCTTTCGAAGTGAAAATATCGAGTAAACCAAGTATGATTAATTATTCAGAAATCCCTAATTTCCTAATTTGGAATATATTTGTTATTTAGTCCTGCTTCTTTCTTTTAAACAAAGTCCGTCAACGTCTGAAGCTCGTATACATAGTTTACCCTCAACTTGTGTATGAAATAATTCGTATAAATTCCAAAGACTAGTTCAAACCCCCTACGATCCCAGACTTTCCAGCAAACAACATGGCGCGCGTCGAAGACCACTTTACATGCGTACATACGTGTGAACGTTTAAGTGTCGCATGTGATTTGTTGTTGACCTGTCGTTTCTTCACGCTTCTCTATCACAAGGACCGAGCGTGCGTTGATGCGTTGTGCGTGACCACTGCGTTTACTTATCTGTCGTCGTTGTTGTTTGTTTGTGTTGTTTATTTTTGCTTTGTGTTTCTTTGTGTTGTCAGAGCTTTAGCGGAAGTGTAACAGTAACGATGGCCGGGAGCACCCAAACCGCCCAAACCGGCAATACCGGCCACGCCACAGTCAACACCAACTCACAAACTCACACTAGTTCTGAGCAACAACTACCCGTGCCCACCCCACTTCACTACCCCTGCAAGATTTGCGGGAAGTAAGTCTCCAATCTCTAATCTAAATTATCCATTCGTTAAAAAAAAAGAAAAGAAAAAAAAACAAACGACGGCCAGCCACTGACACAAGCGCTACTCAATATGGCGCCGTTCACGCCAGACAATGGCGGCGGCTCGAGGGGCAAGTATCGGTACAGCACATATAGACACCTCGCTTCTAGAGAGAAAGAAAGCCTTCCTGCATACGGTCCTGGACCACGTAGTCCGTTGTAGAGTCAGACTTGGGTTGCCATACGCTGGATGTTAATAAATATCAGAGTGACACTTTGTGGACGAAAGCTATATGTACCTTTGACCCTTGTGTTCACACCTGAAGATGCGAGTTATGTTAAGCTGGTATCCAACATGGAATTTTGTGTTGAGAAAATGGTTCCCTTTATTTTTTAACTCTATAAATGATCCTCTTATTTAACCATGAAGATTCTCTTTCAACTTGTTTCAAGAGTAGTCTATGTAATGGTCAACATGTACCTCCATCTTGCTAGTAATATGCCCAACACATAGCAACTAGTAGCCAGATATTGATATTATCTTTAATTTCATCTAATAGTCGTTTCTATCAGAATACTTAGCCCAAGATCTGGACCCATGTTTGGACTAAAATATATTTCTTCCTTCACAAGCTTATCACCTCCCGAAGTGACGTGATTTATAAACACCTCAACACCTATGAAAACAGTGTACATTACAAACGTGACTGCCATTCGACCATTTAAGCTCATGTTCATGCATATCTCCGTTCGTTCAGATCTGAAACGACGCTAGAACTTTGGCCACCCATGGCTAAGCTACATCTCCATAAAGTGTCATCTATTACTTGGTCTTGTCTCAGAGTCACGCGACTGAAACGTAAACAGACTTCATTACACTTTGTACCGTGTTTACATTATCGCTGTAACTCCACTTACATCATAGTAGCCCTCAGGACTGTATACCTGAGCTCGTACACGTAGCGTTGCATCAGCCAGCTTTCCTCCATGATAATGAAAACAAGGTAGGGCAGTGGAGATTCAAAGCGTGTGTTGAATAGCACTGACAGGGAACGAATTTGGTGTAACAACAGTCTACCTGCTATGCTACAGCAGTGACGAAGAAAGAATCGACGTGGTTAATTGAAAAGTCTTATTGTTAGTCTTAGAATTTACTGTCTCATTTCTTTTATTTATTTCAAAAGATTGCAGTTAGATGCCACTCTATTAATTTTTTAGTTCATGGTGCACATGATGTTTTACAAATTACAACGTTAAAAACACTTCAGGTCATACTTTGAGAATCATTTGGAACTAGAAATGGAAATATATGTATATACAAATATTGTTTGTTTTTTTAAGTGCAAAAGCGTTAAATACAAAAGTGTCCCTGATATTTATTAACACTACAAACATACCTTCACAAATATAACTCAATGACGATGCTTGCATCCTACTTGCTGCTGATCTGCTGCTGGCCTACTACTTGTCAACATAACAACACTCGGGCAGTACTCTGTGGCAGCAAGTTGGATATATCTTTAAAAAAGTGAACGTACTGTTTTCTATGTATATTGTGTACACTGCGAATCTTTCTATATCTTTTCAGGAAATATTGTAGACATGTTGCATCACTCGTAATTTAGTCATCATTCAGAAATGTTCATTTATCTAATTTATAATTTTTCTTATTTTGCAATTATCAAATGTGTACTCATCCGAACCTTGTTTGCATAACAATTAGTAGTTTTATTTTTTATTTAGAAAAAAAATCATTTCGAACAGAATTTAGTTTACTAATGCACATTATTATTGCTAAAAGTAATATTGCTAAAAATGAAGGTACATGTAGTGATCGTGTTAATAAAATTCCCTGCTATTTACATTAGTATTACGAACCAAGTATCTATAATGTATTTCAAAAAACGCATAATTTCCTTTATAAGTTCATTGCAATAGTTGATATATTTGGTTTGCATTGCTGCTGGAAAATGTTCTCTTCCAAACTTCATTTATCTATTCAACGTTATCTCAGTAGCTCATTCTGCATCCTACTTCAAACTTTCATTTACGCGGATCGTAATTATTATTTATGATGAATCAAGACCACCAATTCTGCCAGTAAATATTTAGTATGCTTGCACTACTATGCAATCGATGATTAATATTACAGCATACCATTCGCATGATCCGTTCCTACTTAGTTCAGTGTTCACACATCGTAATTACAACGATCAATACAAAATGTATCCTCGACAAACATTCTGCAACCAGCAAATACTCATCCAACACAAGTTTAAGAAGGAAACTACCCCTTTCATTGAATCCTTGACCTAACAGTTTCCTGTAACATACTCTATACGCTATCTGTTAGGTTTGGATTAAGGTATAGGCTTTGTGGGCTATAGTCTGGGGACCTCCAACAGCTGGATGACTTCCTGAAATTAATTCAAAGTTACATTATGGATTTATGTACACGTATTTGTTATATTACTAATTTGCAGAGAAGGATTGCTTAAAAATTAAATACTTGAAGAATGTACTTAGATTAATAATGAATGTACTTAGATTAACCCTGGCAGTACAAAGTTTATCCTGCTGCTTTAACCACGGTGGGTGCTACCACGTGGCAGTCGAGAGCGACTAGTCTACTGCTATTCTAGCTTATGGACCACGCAATACCTGCTCCCGACTGTGGCCACTGATTTCCTTAAAACATCGAAACAAGTTTTGTTTTGCCAAGTATACACAACTATAACAATCTGAATTTAAACTGTTGTTAACCAATTTTAATCTATCTTTAATTAAATTTCCTCGTAAATATTATTGGAGACCCCTCATAGTGTCTGTAGCCCAGAAGCCTTCAAGATCTTAATTCAGCTACCTACCAATCCAAAGAATAGTTTCCACTTCCACAACAATCTCAACCACCCATCGAGCTGCCAACCAGTTCGCCTAACCTCGTCGTTCGATCTGTCTTGCAGAGTTTTCAACAAAGTGAAAAGCAGAAGCGCGCACATGAAATCTCACAGGCCAGTGCCCTCGCCCGATTCAACGGGTCAGGAATCTAAACGACCTGTCCAGCAGCAGCAATCCAAAGCGCAGCAGTCCCAGCAGCAGTCCAGTCAGCAACGTCAGCAACCACAATCACAACAGCAACAACCACAACAACAACAGCAGCAGCTGCTGCACACGCAACAGCAGCAACAGTCAAGCAACGTTTCGCCGCAGGGCTCGGAATTCACCAATCAACAGCCACTGCCTCCAAGCAACGGCGATACCGGAGCTCAGAACACGGTGCATTTATGGCACAACCCAACGCGGCTCAGGCCACCATAGGACAACGCCCAACCGATTAAACTTAAGTTACCTTAACGAAGGCTGTAACGGTACGATAGGAAAGTATTACGGTCGCGTGAACTATATAGGCAGGCACTTATACAACCGCGATCGTCGATGGGTCGTCGACGACGATACCCCGCGTGGAAAGCTCGTCTCAGCCTCGGCTCGACCCCTTGGAGACGCAGGCGCCGAGCGTTAGACAAAGTAACACGAAGACTTCCACGATAGATAGTTCCAAAACGAGATATACCTCTTGTACGCGCTGATGGACACGAACCACGCGACATTCTCGCGAGTTCTCTGGTCAGGCCAGCCACAACTAAGTTATAACCCTACGCGATTATAAGCGCCGGAATGTGCGCGAATCAGAGAGAAGTGACCTAACCGTAGACCGTGGGCGACGAGTAAGTTCGTCTGGCACAGGCATGCCCAACTGGCCTGTGACCGTCACAGTGTGACGGGCTAGTTCCGGGTCAAAAAGGACCAACGACGCGTACACGTGACGTCACAGGGAGGTATGACGGATGGTGGAAGCACTGGGAACGCAGCATTGGACGCTCAATCCTGCTGCTAGCTGTGAGATTCCGTCGTGTGTGATTGGATACTCATGTTGCTTCACAGATGTGACGTACTCTACCATGAACCTATGTTCATGGGGATGTACTATAGTGGATTGCGGGAAGCCATCTGCACGGATATTTATATAATGGAGGAGGTATGGTGGTACATGCTCGTGGAAAGCTTTTGTGACGATACTAGAAACCGCCATGTTTGAGAATGATGGTGTGAATGATTATGTTTAATGTGGTTTGTGAAGTGATAAAATATTTTTTATTGGAGAACTGTTGACGAGTCACATAGGCTTTGATGAAGAAAGCACTAGAGCATAGTATAAAAATGAAATCTACAGTATGTCTACAATAGTCGCATACTATTTTTAAAATTTAATCATTATTGTTCATAATTTTAAAAAGAATATTAAGTGTCGAGATTTTAAGTTACCATGTCTAAAGAACAACAATTTAATACATGAATTTTACAAATAATTCTCCTCCAGAAACTGTGCATTAAAATCCTGCAAAAGTACACGTCAAAACATCTCAATCAAGAAGCAAATGCCAGCTCCAAAGAGCTCCCCAAACCCTGTGAACAATAGTAGTATCGATCGCCAACTCATAGTGGTCCCTCTCAAATGTGGCGGCTTCCTGTGTCTCCTCAGCGACCGCAGGCCTACGCCACGTCCACTATATAGAGATCAGTGGCAATATGCGTCGAGTTGGGCATGTCTGATCTAGAATGATGACGAGACCTGTTGAAAGAAGGCCCTTCGTGCGCACATGGGCGGTGATAGTTGAAGCTCCGTTCAACGAGGAGACAGGGTACCCGGAAGTCCCTTTTCGCGTCATCGGGACGGGACGTGGACAGTCCACCGGCAGCTTCCGGTGATTGTCGGTGAACAATTAACGAACGTGCAAGCTTTCCGTCTGTTTTTTCATTTAACGGTAAACGTGGGAGCGCGGGGAGGGAGGGAGAGAACCCACCTTTCATCGACAAACAAAATGGCCTAGAACGAGCGCGGCTCGACGAACGGAACAGAAAGGAAAAGTAACCTAAGCACACACGGGCACGTTGAGTTGACGCGTGACAACGGGGGGGGAGGGGCTAACTAAACGAATAGAATGGAAATTTTACCCTACGACGAGTGCTGTAATGTTAAACGATAATCGCGGTTTTCGATGTACCTAATTGCTATTCGCACGCGAGATGTTCCCAGATTGTGCCACAAGACATTACTGTTACCTGTTGCCTCTTTATCATTCTTTCAAATGTTTTAGATTGTTCTTTCTTTGTTCAATTTTTTTTCTCTATTTGTTTTTTTTTTTTTTTTTGTTTATTTTCATCAGGACGGGCTTGCGAATCGTACGCTACATGTTTTAGTGATCCTTCGAGATAGAATGATTAGATGCGAATTCGATTGGACGTTGGTTTTTTTTTTTTCAAACGCTGTGGAAACGGATATGCGTTCGAGTGGTTCGCAAGCAAATCCTGCTATTACGAAGTACTACTTGTTGCACGTTCGCTCTAGTTCTATTTAGTTTAAATATCATTAGCGTATTTAAATCTCGATAAGTAGATTTGTTGAAACTCCCTGATTTTGTTACCTCTGTTACTTAATATATTAACTATATTCGTCTGAATAAATTTTAATATATATATATATATATAAATGTGTGTATAGGTATATACACATTATAAATATGTATAAACAGATCGATGTAATTGAAAAAATGATTAGTAGCTTAGGATGATATAGTTCTCTAGAAGGAGACAAGTTGTTCAAGTTTCGCTTCGGTGACGATTCGAGAGCGTCGTCGATGGCCGAATGTAACATAAATGATTATACATACAGCCATGAGTACATTATACATACGTGCACCGAACACAGACACAGAGTAGAGAAACGTTTATTAAAAAGAAAAAAAAGTAATTATTATTATTATTATTATTCGTCTAACGGATCATTAGATCACGACTCTATATGTACATAATGGGTGTACATGTCTGTACATATTTAACATCAGTGTCTGTATGTACAATTCAAATGAATTTTAACGCAAAATACGTAGGTTAGGTTTTAGGTTGTTTTAGGAGGGATCTATATAGAAATAAAATATATATACTTGGCTTGATTTTCTACCTTACTAGGGACTACACGGCGAAACTCTTGGATGAACAACGATGGAACGTGTAAAATTCGATACTGTTTTTTATTTCATCCTAATCGAGCAACGATGTTCCTGTATGTAAGGTGCCTTGAATTGTTATTTACGTTTGATATGTTTGAAATTATTGGGCAATGTTGACGTTTCTGTTTAGATGTGTTAAAGGTGCGTTGTTTTTGTTTACTATTTCATTCTGTGAAAAGAAGGTAAGAATCTATTATTTTGAAAAATTGGGGACGCGTTCGACTATGAGTAATTATTGTTTGATTATGTTTGGGCGTGGACATTCAATTTAACGAACAACAAATTTTACTACGTTTCTGTTATTATTTAGCTGTATTTTATTTGCGTATATATAGGAACATCGTTTCCAAACAAAATTTTGAGACTCGCTCAAAAGTGAAACATACGAGGTCAAACGGCGTTTCGTAGTTTGTATAAATGCTGTCGAGCCTCCGAATTTGTCGTTCAAGAGTCTCGCTTATCGTGGCTGCTCTAATTCTACCTTAAAGCTATTGTTATTGTTAACACTCTTCTTCTTATTAACTTTTACCTAATTAAAGAATAAATCACGAATATACATTTTAACTTTTTAAACTTTTCACGTGTAAAAAAAAAACGCAAGTGACTGAGGATGCTTTAAAGAATCTGCCAAGTTTAAAAAAAAAAAAAACACGTAATGGATGGCTTTAAATCTTCCACTTGTTTTAGTCAGCGAGATAAAGACTACGTTCGCGAGCGAATGTCGAAAGTTTTGCAACAGACAATTATTAATGCGAAAAGAAAAAACAAACGACAGGGAGAAAAACGAAAACTTGTCGACGTTCGACGTTCGAGGAGATCCGAGAATCGTCTGTCTTTATGTGTGTCTTGTGTTTCGACGTTTCACCACTTCCCGCCCCTCACTTTCCCCATCCAAAAGCCCCGATTTACAAAAATGTAATGCGATCTAAACAACAAACGTTCCGGCCACACGACATTTATCGCGGTATTCGTTCATTTACAGCAGGACTGGCTACCATAATTGTTTCAAGGCACTAGGAATACCCAAACTAGTGGTGTCACAGAAATATGGCGGGACTAGTTCGCTTACTCGACGTGCGCTGAAACTATCCTGGAATACCCAAAGCAGTGGCGCCACAAGGAGGTGGCGCTACGTAATTGTGTGTGGCGCCACGGCATCGCGGCGCCACTAGTTCGCTTACTCGCCGTGCGCTGAAACAATCCTGATGGCCAGCCCTGACCTACAGGCAAGACTAAACGATTGTAATGGCGAGTATGACCAAGGGCTCCGTTTTATCTTACTCAAAGCAATGAAAAGAAATACGCACAGGAACGAAAGGGAGAATTTATTTCGCATATACACCACGAAACAAATCACGTTGCGTTTGTGTATGAAACAGCGATTAATCGTTTTGTTCTGGAGTGTTCGAGGCGTTTCGAATGTGTTGATATTTTTCCAATTAACATTATAGATACATACGGCCCATGGAAATACTTCTTCGCGACCATAGAAGAACACGCGTTCATGCGAAATCTGAGTAACGGCCTCCAGAGCGCGTCGAGGGGATAGCGATTCCCTGGAAAATCTATATTAACTATTAAATAAGATCCTAGGCGAGTCGAGTCTTAAAAATAAGTTCATTTAAGGTGCGATAAAGAAAAAACTGTTATATGAATCCCGGACAACGGCGTTCGGCGCGCAAGTCGTGAATGCAACAAAATTAGCAGACATATCATTTAAGACAATACACTTGTTACGGAAACTAAGTTTCTACTAATGTAATTATTATTGTATGTAATCTAACTCTTAACCAGACTTAGAGATTCGAGGCAAACGGCGTAGTTAGTTGGTAACGTGGAAAATAAGGAAGAAAGTAGCGGGGTTGTCGAATCCAGAGGATAGGAAATTAAAATCGAGCGAGTATTCAGCGTTTGAAATAATACTCTTTGTTGACTATACTTTTCATCGATTGTGCGAGAAGTTTAGACGTAGCGCGTTTCTTTAAAACGAACACCGACTGTATTTATTTAATTTAAATTTCACCGACGACGCGACGAAGGGACTTGCGTACTTAGAACATAGATGCGTACTTAAAGCGTTCACTTTCGTTTCCTCGCTGAATAAAAGGTTGTGCAACGTGAAATACTCGCGGCACTCTGGATTTAGGGGCAATCGGGGACGCGCGGGGGCGGTACTGGGGGCTGATTACTCAGAACTTAGGGAAGGCACGACAAACGAAGCAATGAAACAGTAACGAAGATATGCATGAATTGTACAAACGAGTCCCTCCACGTCACAGAAAAGAGTATATCTGTATGGAGAATATATATATAACAAAAAAAAAAAAATGATAAATATGTGATGTATTTAAATGGTATGTGGTATATGGTATTACATATTTGTACATAGGCGGACCCGTGCCATCAACTAGTGAGTTGTACCGATATTGTACTGCCATTTGACCGAATCGTTCAAAGCAACATCGTGTGAATAGAGACTAGCTAACAATCAAACTGATAAAGCGTTTACCTACTACAAGTTTCGGTTCACGTTGATTAGCCAGGAAAATTTAAACGTTAAGTTGATCAGAATGGTCGTTCTGCGTGCTTAATTTCCAGCGGATACCGTTTCGTTTAATATCGAAACGTAATTTACTTACATGAAATTATTTATCGATGTTTGACTCTCCTCAAAATACACTATACTTTCTTTTGAAATTGATTCTCGATTGTTTATACTTAATTCAGAGTTACCATTTTCGTTTGAGTAAGTTTGTCTGATTTCGTACACGCCATAACTCGTACGTTGGTAAATGTCCTGCTAATGGAAGCAATGGTTACAAAAAAAAAAAAAAATAAAACAAAGAAAACAGCAAAACGAAAAAGAAAAAAGAGAAAAATTACACTACGTGGGATATATTGGTACAACTCGATGAAGAAAGTGTAGCGTGGTTATACACCTGAGGAATGTGCTCAAAATACTGTATTAAAGAGAAAAAAAGTCTACTAAATGATCATCAACGTTTAATGCGAGGAATTACTCTTAGAAAAAAAAAATGAAGTGAAAAGTTATTATGGATTATCGATATCGTAATCTATTGTCCTCTTACCTATTACCTACTTTAATGTCTATCTCTATACGCCAAGCATGGTTCTTTATACTCTTCTATTTGATGTTATACTATTCTCTATTAACTTTTACTACGAGAACGAACAAGAAAAATAATTGTATTGTTAATAGTGTTTTTAATGTAAACGAAGCATATGGTCAGCTGTAGGTGAGCCACGGATACGTAATGTCGCGTTTCACATGAGAACTGACGAGGAATGAGCCTTTTCCAGTCACTTGGAAACCATCGGTCTCGTTAGAACAAAAATCCACTGTAGAAACTATAGAACCTTCTCTTCTACTCCTTCTATCCTAGGGATCCCATAGGTTCCCCAGTATTTTATTGTTCATCGAAAGTACCCGTTCGAGAATTATTTTGTCCTCCTAAAGCAAAATGGAGTATTCATGTGACACGGACATTTTCTATCGCGCGGTTTCGTCGCAATAATTAGAGTGAAAGAGATAAACGTGTGTGCTCGGTAGCAATATCGGTGGGGACGCTGCTCGCGTCCTCCGCTGTCGTTGTTTTTTCCACTTCTCTGCTCAACTATTATAGTTCTTAACCTGTAAGCGTAGCCTGTACGTTAGTGATCCTCGTCATTAGTCGTTTAAACCTCCCGTACCGATTCTTATTGTCTTGCTCAAATAGCGGAGAGGAGCGCCCGGTTCCGACAAGCAAATCAAACCCCCTCTTATCCCACCCAGTGAACCTACCCCCCACATGCGTGCGCAATGATATCGCTCAAAAGTTGGTGCCATAAGCAATATGGACAATATATTATTAATTGTGTTTAGACACGTGCGCGCCAACTACAGCTGGCCGAGCGAGGTCCCGTTTTGGGGAACCTGGAAATCACGCGGCGCTTTGTTGCCTAACCGAGCTGAGATCTCCTAATTCAGTGGAAACTCGCGTTAATTTCCGTGTACTGTATACAGAAAGAAAGATCAGGATCGGGGAGGACTGTGGCTGGAGTTGAGTCTTTCTTTCTGATAGGAGATATCTTCGAAAGACACAGCAACGTCAACGACGTGACTTTCAAGGCCTCCTCGAGGTTGAAACGTCTGACTCGATGGGTCCCCTCAGGATTGATCTTTCTTGCTGCCCAGGCTACCTGCTAATCATACTGTCTTCAATGTCCAAGTGCCCGTCATAATAATTCCCAGGGTTCCATCGACAGAAAACTCTAATTTTGCTTGAAAGCAGAGTAGGCGGGGTTATTTATTTTGGCCTGAGGGTTCGATCTGGCCTATGTCTCACCTAGGCGTGGGAATTACTATGCTACAGTACTCTTCACCCTGTCTAATCTCTATTTCGGACAATCCTCAGCCTCCGTTAGTCAGCTCGTGTCGCGGCAACCGCTTGTCGCGTGTTTATATATACCTAACACAGTTCAGTCAATTTGAAGCGCGATGGGGTACCGAGTCGCCAAACGAAAGAGCCTAATCGAAAGCCTACTATGTCGATAACCCCCTTAATCGAAGAGAGGAGGGGGGAGGGGAGACGAGACCTAACGAAAGACCCCAGAGGAGGCCTAGAAACCCCGAACGAGCGACTCCACCGCATTGGTCCGCCAACGAAGACAAATGTCACCGATCCTCGTGGATCATCCGATGCTGCTCGAGGGAACGCTGGATCTATTTAATCGCGTGGCCTCGTGGATGTCTCGATCGTCGTGTAGTCGTTTACTTTAGAGCTGACGAGCGTTCCTTCGTGGAGTTTGACAGCTGATGGCAGGTCCTAAGGTCCTAGGGGTCACAGACGTTGAGAATCTTTCGTTTAGCAATTTAGGCGACGTTGATCTTGAACTGTCTCGATCTTTGACGATTGCCACGTAGGGTTGTGATACGTT